GCCTGGTACATGACTGGTCTATCAGGGGTTCTGCTCTGTGGACGTTGCTGAGTGCCTTCTTCATGATCCTGAGCACCACCAGAAGCTGCTGAGATCAGACACTGAGAAAGGTGAGGGGACCAGTAGAAATTACTGATTTTCAGTCACTAGACTAGTCCCAGCAGAGAATTTTTAGCTGAGAGGATCACAAATTAATTTGCCATCTGAATCCCTGTTGGTCAGTCCTCAATTTACTTTCACAGCATCCTTTTGAGCATGGGAAATGGCTGTGCTGGAAAGGGCAGAGAGGCTTAAGCGTTCTCCTCCTGCTCATGAAAGAAGTTTCTGTTGGAGTGAGAGGTAGAACCCAAGTTTTCTATCATCTTCGAAAACTAAAGATGGTTCAAGAGCTGTGCTGGGAATGGCATCTCACTGTGCCTCACAATATGATCTAAAATGCATTATTTCAGAAAACAGAGCTGGTGTCATAGTATGCGTACACATACTATTCCCTAACGACCTGTGAGTTGTTAACGCATCTTTTCCATGAATAACTTACCCACTGCAAAGAGCAGGCTGTCACACCAGGTTTCTTTGTCTACCACACTGGAGCATGGTGGCAGCAATGGGGAAGAATGAAACGGCGACAGACACAGCTGAGAAGACACGAGTCTAGACAAGGAGTGTGAGGGTGCACGTGGATGCTGTATCCTTGACCTCAGTATGATTGCTAACCCTGGTGTTACTTCCACTCTTTCTGCAGAAGAGGAGGCAGGAAGAATTTTCCAGGGTGGAGAACAGGCAGCAAAAGCTCCCGGTTGCTAAGAAAATAAAGAGCTCAGTGAAAGAGTAACTAACAGAGATATAACAGCCTGTCACCCCAGAGAGCATCACAGGGTGTCACAACAGATGTCTCACCTTAACCTAGGAGGCTGTCTCTCATGTTTTGAAAGTAACCGATGACACCCAACACACGGGCCTCTCTGCTACGCAACGCGAGTGCTGCAGAGGGACAGCAATCCTTCCCGCTGACGGGCACCTCTGCCATCTTCTACACCAGCTTCTGCACCAAAAAACTCGTACTGACTTAGGGCCCATAGAGCTCAAAATTCCCAGACACCTGCTCTGTGTACAGTCACCCTGCGGTGCAGACTTTTCAGCTACCAGCAGTGAAAGTCTTCATCATTCAGTGAATTTTAAGGCAGTGAATTTTTATAATTCAGAAAAGCCACGGTACGTCTGTCTTTCACGAGAGCCGAGCGTTCGCAGCTTGGATTCCCGCAGCACCGACTGAGCCCAGGCAGAGCCCGCACCATGCGGGGCCAGCCCACCTAACCAGCAAACCTCACCGAAATCATGCACGGGCAGAAGATAGCACATCAGAGCATACTCTTGAAACACAATACGATGAATTTTGATGCCCACGGATGATGACCTGCTTATCCACACCACATCTTCCCCACGCTTCCTTACCAACCCGATTTCAGCTGGAGGAAACAATCAAACCTTCCTGCCCTGCCCTCCCAGGCTGCCAAAGGAGTTCCAATTAGTGTCAATTGGGATAATAGCTCTATTTGCATTTTTAAGCTATTATTAGCAAGTTGTCAGTCAGCCAGTAATTTGTATCACTTTGGTATAATGAGTATTTAAATGTTTAAAAAGAGAACATTCCTTTCTCCCACCCCCTTCCTTTTTGTGCTAAAATAATAATGGTTTTAATCAAAAGTAATTTGTATTAATATACATTTTGCCCCAGGTGTTAAGAGCAGTCTTCAAGAGCAGTGGTGAGAGATGTTAAGTAATACAGTATATTAATGTAGAAAACTACTTCTATCCTCAATAGTAGCAGAAATGGAGGCTGCTTTTCCAACCAGGTCATTCTGGCTCTCCTCTTGGCTTCTGTAAGATGATTATGGTGTAGAAATTGAGGTAAGTTCCAATAATTTTATGTTCCTGGGATTATAATTCTCTAAGGGACTATTTTGGACCCAATTACTTCATCTTCTCCCTAGTGAAAATTCCTCAATTAAGCACATTGTACCACCAAAAAAGGCTGTGTTTGTCAAATCAGCCAGCCAGCTCTACATTGCCATTTATGCCACCAGTGGTCGCTGGGGGATGTTTCCTGGCACAGCTGGAGTCTAGGTTCTCAGGCATATGCAGTCTAACACTGTTCATCGTCAGATAGAGCTCATAAAACAACTGGATTGCCTCATTTACAGAAATAGGAAATCTTTCCAAATTTATATGATGTACTGCATTTTATAATGTATGTATATACATACATGTTTTAAATAATTCGAGAAAAAAGCAGAGGTATGGCCCTAAGCCTTTCTGATAGGCATCTGTAAAACTTCCTAGCAGGACTTAGAGAGTTCTTTCTGTATGACTATCTGAAATCCTATGATCCACATGTTAATCATGGCAAAAATAGGAAAAAAATAACCCCTAACAAGTTCAGAGGTAAAATTAACATTTTGCATTCCCCAGCCCAGTATTACCTTCCATCTTCCCTAGAACTGGTATTTTACACCTGATATAACTTGCATTTCTAATTTTTTAATTTCATAATTGATTTTTAATTACTTTCAAATTGAATATTGAATGTCTTCAATACTAATGCATTTAACTCTCAACTGCAGCACCAGCATGAGAAGCTCTGCACAGTATCTTGTGAGCAACAGCAACTGAACAACCTTTTTTGTTTCTGCTTGGCTTTGCCCCTATTCTGATACAGTACTTATTAAATTCCCTTCCACAAAGCTCATGCACAAATCCTACTGACAAGTCTGTGTGAAAGAAAGCTAAAAGCAGGAGAGCAGGATGGAAAGCAGTCTTCCCTAGGGATGAAGAGCTCGTTTGCACGGACGTGCTAATAGCGGCTGCCATCTGCTGGTTAGAAAAAAAAAAAGATTTAAAAAAAATCATCCCAAGAAGAAACTTCTCGATCCGAATTCAAACTTTGGCATGCTCTTTTAGGCCTGCTGGAGCAAACGTGTCTGTTCTTGGCTTCCTCGGACACAGGCTGCATGAGCACAAGCACACATTGCAAGGGGAAAAGCTGTGAGGCTGCAGAGTGGAGCCAGCCCCGACCCGCTCGCGTGGGAGAAATGAGAGTGTTGGGTAGATTCCAGTGTACCATCAACATCTTCTGTTGTAGCCCATAGGACACTTGAGAGATCCAAACCACTCTCCTTTGGGTTGATTGTTCAACAGCCAGCTCAAACACAGGGTTACCCCTATAAATAGGGTCAAGTTCCCCTCCGCTCAGGGGGCCTGCAGCAGTTTGCATTGCTTAGCCTTATTCAAGTCCTCAAAACAGAGCTTACCATGTTGCAGCAGAAAGTGCATTTGAGTATTGACCCCAAAACATGCTGAGCCTCATTTTACTTCAGGCAAATGGTATTTTCTTATCATCTCAACCTTGGGAAGTTTACAGAGAGTGGTAAATCTTGTCTTTACATATTAGTACTTAATCAACATACGCTATACTCCTCTCCCAAGTCAAAATATACTTTACTGCTTCAAAGAAATCCAAAAAGACAAGCACATGGCCCTTAAGTAAAGAAGCCTGCAGGAACATATTACCTTACTCATCGTATATTCATAAATAACTAATATGTGCAAGTTTATGTCAAAATATGGCCGCTACTGGCCATAGCTGGACAGTTCTTGGGCTCTGTGGTACCACTGAGAGGTTCAGTAAGGTTTCTGGAATAGAGCTTCAAACACAGGATTAGCAGAGAGTAATAAATAGACAGTCATTTTATGAAGATTTTAAACCAAAATTGCTTATATTTTATCTTTTAAATAACATTTGGCTTTGGTTCCCTAGTCAAGAGGGACAATAAACTAGACTTATGTCTTCATAAAGGGCATGATGCTAATCAAGTCAAGCTGCAGCACACATGGATATTTTTTGACCACCCTTATCTTTAAGTAACCTTTAAAAAAACAGCCCTCATGTCTAAGTAGCTAATAGAAAGTTGTCCTGGGTAAAAAGTCATTTGTTTTTCAGTAGGGTAGTAGAAGTTCTTGTGGTTTCTGGAGAAGCTTTTTCTTCCATTTTTCCAAGCAAGGTGCTTGATCCCATTGTCTTCAATGATGATTTGTCCAACTAAAATCTATGGGGTACAGGGCTGGTTCACCACACAGTTGGCCACATGCAGTTGAGCAGTAACGCAGCCTACCTTTTCATCATACAGGTGGAAAAAATTCTTACCATAACTGAAAAATGTCTTGAAATACTTTGCCATGCAACTTCCATCAGACTGATACAAATCACCCAGCAAACACTCTACTTTTCAAGAATGATACATACATTTAAAAATCGAAGCCCCTGAGTAAGAAACAAAGACATAACTCGGCTTCTCTTGTCTGTTCTGCTCTTTGATGAGAGTCACGATATCTTTAGACTGCTGGTATATTTACAAGATTCAAAACAACGAACTGGTGGCTTTACAGTAACAAATAAGATTCCCATTCATTTAATTAAGTAACACCCAGCACCACCACTATTATAATCTCTAGTAAGCATCTCTGCATAGCTATGAATATCTAAATAACTTTTGAAAACCAGATCAAGGTTCTCAGGAATGCTTAAGAAGACATTCAGAACAGAACAGTATAGACAGACTATCCAAATCCCACAGCCAGGAACACAAATCACTAAATAGAGTCAAATTCCCCTTTGCTCAAGGGGCCTGCAGCAGTTTGCATCACTTAGCCTTATTCAAGTCCTCAAAACAGAGCTCACAGTAAAATATGTTAAATGACTGCAAAGCAAATGAATACAATCAAGGTCACATAAAGAACAGAGCTGCCAAATAGGGTAGTTCCTTATCCAGGAAGTATTTTCCCTTGAATTACAAAGTTTTGGAACAGCAGGGTGAATTTTTAACAGTATACTAACCACAGAAAGCTCTTATTTCCAATAGTATTGTCAAAATACATCTTAAAGACCATTTAAGCTTTAGGTTTCACTAATTTGTTTGGTTTTGGTTTTTTGGGGTTTTTTTTGTTTTGTTTTGTTTTTTTTTAAGCAGAGTGCATGCAAATTGCTTGCAGCACTTCTATTTGGGGGATTGTTTCAACAGCCTATTCTTGGGTAGCTGACTTGTAATGCTTCAACGTGCGAGCAGAAGGATCAGTAGCTTTAACCCATCTTGGCATCCAGTAGTGGGGCAGCCAGTTGCTTCGCCCTGGGTAGTGCTTTTCAAAGATCTGGCGGTAGTAATAGCTTTCTTTTGTTTTAGGAGGATTGAAAGGATATTTCTCTGCTGCCTTTTCCAGCAGAAGGTCATCAACCTATAGACATAAGCAAAACTCAAGTTTCAGTTGCAAATACATTTAACTTTCACAAGTCAATTTGCTGCAAGTTAAAGACATACAAGGATTCACCAATGACTGAATGCCTACAGGTTTAAAAAAAAAAAAAGTCTATTCTAGAGGCAGAGGTTTCTGACAGGTGAATTTTTGTCATAGGCTCCCTTGATCTTTATGAATACATAACTGTATTTCCAGTGCTATTAATATTTCTCTCTGCCCATTTCTCTTTGGGTTACGATCACCTTTATTAGTAAGGTCACAAAAACTTCTTTGCTATCCTTCTCTTTGCTGTAAATCCACCAGAACAACTTAAAGCAGTCTTTTTTGCCATCTATGTGGCTTCCTGGTTTTTTTTTCCTCAGCTTGGAGAGCTGTTTACTCTGCTTGTATAACCAAGCTCTTAGCAACAAAAGACCTGGGATGCAGAGGCAAAGACACCTGCAGTTGCTAAGTTGGCTAAGAAAGGGAGAATGAACAGTTGCACCAGTTGAGGCAATTTCTAAAGCAGATAGCTTCCACTGCCAACATACTGTCTAACCCCTCACGGCCATGAAATAAATTTGGCCCCACTACACCAATGCAGGCTCAGTCCAGGCAGCACAACGCTGTTGCCTTAACCAACTGCTTTCTTGCCTGTGGATACAGAGAAAGAAAATGGGAAATAAGCAGTTGGTGGTAGGACAGACAAGCACCTGTCCACAGGCCCAGCTACACACATTTCTGTAGAACAGAGCTCTGGTGTAAAATGGGTGTTATTCCTTCCTCTTGATGATTAAACTACCTCTGTACACCAGAGATGATTATCCTTTGTCTAAAGCCAAAATACTGTAAGTCTTCATTGGTTAGTAATGCAAGCAGACGTTTTAAAAAGCAAAAGGCCTTAGCTAGGCATGACTGGGAAAAACAAATGACATAAACAAGAAAGGACATTATAAAGTCATTATGCTGTTACTCTGCTGCAGAGTAAGTTCATGCAAGTGCCTTCAGCTGAAGCAGCTGCTTTGCGTGTAACCCAGAAATTGTGTTTGCTGATACACAATCTAATTTGCAATCCAGATACTTAAGTGAAGCTCACTTCCTTACACAGTCACTTCTTTCAGACTCTAGCATTTCTTTATATCTAGGATTTCAAATGCCTTTAACCAACTCAGATGGCTAGAAGACTGTGATTAAAGTTTATCTTGCTCCTCCATGATGAAGCTCAAGTTACTGTCCTACCCATATTTATTCTCTCAAGTAAGCATGCAAGCTGCCTCCCCTTGGCAGCTATATCTAATACACCTAAACGTGAAAGACAAAAGAAAAAAAGAAAAAAAAAAGGTGGTATTGTACCTGTTGATCAATATAATCCTGAAGAATAGAAAACCAGGATTTCTTTACTGATGCTATACCATCACTAAAAGCTTCTTTGGGTCTCCAGAGTATTTCTTTGGGAAGCAAGTTGGAATCTTCAAAGGACTGTCTTAAAAGGTATTTTTCAATTCCATTCTGTTTGCAGAAAAACAAATGTCATGAGTCTCAGGAACTGCAGTACAAAGATCTGGCTTTAAACACTTAAGCAATGGTTTCCTTTCAGAAGGTCTGCTCAGAAAAGGGTTCCCAGTAGCCCAACAATCCACCAAAACATTTAAGAGCATGCTTGACTTTGGGTAGAGGACTTAACCACTGAATTCAGCAATTTGGTCATGCTGAAAACACGTATCAGTGAATTTGTAAGCTTACACTTGGGCCCAACCCTAGTTTTACGTACCTTTGGGATACGCAGTTCTGCTGGTAGAGATAAATAATAAGAAGTAAATCGATGATCCAAAAATGGTACTCTCAGTTCAAGACTAAACAGGGGAAATAAACAGAAAAGATAACGAATTAATCCAACAAGTCATCTACTTATAAATTCCATAACAGTTAAGCTTTCCCTGACTTTCACATAAAGACAAGGTTTTCTGCTTTTACTCAGAAGAAATTTCATGACTATCTGCATTTAATTCACCAATTTGGAAAGTTAAGAATATGGTCTGCACAGATTAAATAAAGATCTCGATGATTTATGATGCCATCTGCTGGATAGTTTCTAGTACAGTGAATTTAAAGACTACAGTCCTGCAGGATTTGCAACAACTGTTGTTCCACATAAGCAAAAAAAATCCTGTTGCCCCCAGAGAACAACCAAGTTGCTCACTGGGGTTTATATCAGCATTTATAAAGATGTCACAGAACAAAGCAAGGATTTCTGCTGTCATTTCTGAAATCCACATTTGTTTGTGTTTTCAAGAAACAAAGAAAGGAACCTGCATGGACACCATTAAGCTATTGACTACTGATCTTGCAGCATTTGCACAAGTTCTCTCCTATACCAGTGGCAGATACACACGTATAGAGTCTTCCTGCTTACATTCTCTTATGTATACCATGGCTTCTAAGGACACTGAAGGCAACAAATAGAACTACAGTAACTGTGTCTTCAGTAGGAAGAACCCCTCTCACTGTGTTTCCTCAAAAGACATTATGCTGCCCAGCTTCAAAGTCAAATGGGGATGTTATACTGCATTCTAGTAATTTCATTGTCTCTGTAGCTTCTCCTCTGATAAAAAGTATTACTTCAGGTAATACCCACCTTACCAAAAAAAAAAGCATCACCATTCAGCAATCAAGTACTGAGGCTCAGTTTCCACATATACTGACAAGATT